GCATCGCTACTAGGAGCAAGGACGCTACTAGGGGCTCCTGGCCTTACTACTAGGAGCAAGAAGCTACTAGGAACAATAAAATAAAAGCTTCGATATATACACTCTTCACTGGTGTCTTTCAATGTCTCAGTGCCCCACCAGGATAGAGTCCACTTTGAGCGTCGGATAAACACAGTCCAGAATGCGTACATACCTCAGCGTGGGAAAGACTAATCACTCCAAAGTGATGTCGCGATGAGGTTGGCGCTCTTCCAAGTTTGGTGGGATCTGATCAAGATCCGTGTAGCAGTGGATAACCTATCATCTCAGGTTGAGGACATGTCAGAACTGCTTGGGGAGCACATGCTCCGGGCTTAAACCGAAATATGCCTGGGTTGGCAAAAGCCTAAAGGCGGCGATGAATGCAAGACGCTTTGTGTTTTGAAGATAGGGACTTGTGGATGGACATGCTTGCAACGTGGGTTCTTCCACAAAGTACTAGTGCACCCTCAGGGTCTCTTGAAGTGGACAAGTGCTGCGTTTTGTCAACTCTTCAAATCCATTGGACAGTAATGCATCGCTTTTTCATGTTTGGACCTGTTCTTAGTTCGTTTGGCTTCAGGCACACACCCTCAGGCGACTCAGACTGTACAAATACTGTATATATGGAAAATGCAGAGCCATTGGTACGGATTTGATCAGCCCCCGCAACCAACCGGAGTCTCACTTGCTTAAACCGGGAGTGGAGCGTTGGGAACCCTAACTAACAACCCCTAATCCTACATGGCGCTTGTATGATCGCTTCATCGCCAGAAGCAATGTGGCAGGATTTTAATCATGGCAGAATGTCACGAATAGACAATTTAAAAAGTGATTTGACCGGGTTACAACATCTTAGCAAAGCGGCTAGTGTGGTGGATTGCACTTGCAACTGTTTACCCTCGTTGAAGCTTTCTTGTTCTTTTGAGCCGCACCTCTGGCGACTGCCACCGGAGTAGCAATATTTTTGGACACAGCCCCATAGATTCAAGCTGCAATTGATCTTGAATGCATGAAGTATGCATATGATCCTTCAACAACAGACCTTGTGCAGCAAGTAATCCATTCGATACTCATTTACAGTAATAGGAAAACGCAACCTGTACAGTAGATATCCAACGACAGTGCAGTGGGACAATGGGAATCAGCTCCAGAAGAGGAGCCAGGTATCTTTTGTATTCTCATCTGGAAACCGCAGAAGCAGCATGCAAATCTAAAGCTAAAACTGCAGATCGCAAACACCAAACACTTCCTCAACGCAGGGTCTCTGTTCAAACAACACACGAAATAAAGAAACTGTTCAACAACTGTGTTTGCAAATGCTAGCTGCTAGCTCAATACCGTTATCTCAAACATGCTTGATCGCGCAAACTTGCAGGGCTAGGCATTTGTCTTGACTTGAGGGAGAAAGCGATTAACAATTGTCAAAAGCCTGCGTCTGATAGCTACTCTGAGCTCTGTCTATATTAAGTGGAGTAGCTGCCCAAAACACATCGTTGCTTTATCAAGGTTGGCTGCATCAGACCATGAGACATCTGATGTCACCACTACTTACAGCTAGTGTGAAGAAACTCTGCCGAGCGCGATTGCAAGGCAACTACAGTCAGGCAAGGCCTTTCCAGGGAACCAAGAGTAGCCGTTCTATTTTTTGCCGCTGCTCAATTTGTATATCAATCTCTATTGGGCTCAATACAGCAAGTAAAAGCTGCAGTGCGTGATCTGCGGGCCTTAACCCATCGTGCTTCTTCATTTTGCTCGATGTATTGGAGGGCTCGATTAATCTGGCTCATGCTTGCACGCTTAGTAAAGTACCTTGGAATTCAAGTGCAAAACAAAGCCATGGTGTGCAGATACAAGGCACCTTTTTGTGTTGGCAAGTGTTCGCAAGCAAGCATGCAAAGCTCGGGCGACAACACAACGCCCTGGTCTTGCAAGTTCTTGAGCTTTTGATGAGCCCACCTTTGACAAATAATTCACAACATGTCAAATCATGCGCGAACTGACTCTTGGATCCTGAGGCATCAGCTCTTCAGCGACTCTTTTGTGTACAAACCATTGAATGATGAATCGAGCCACCTCTCAAAGACGATAAATCTCTAACACTCAATTTGCTCCGTCGTGCTCGTAGGTGCGCACTGTGCTGCATGTTCATCACACCACATAATTGTAATCGCGCCTTTGAGTGGCTCATCAATTGAAGAAAGCTCTTGAAAATTGACACCCTGGCAAAGGTCAGCATCACCTTAGGCAAGGATTGGCAGGGGAAAGATCTGCACTGCAAGTCCAAGCCGTATAACTCTCTGCTGGCATCTAGGTTGCCATTGTTGTGGTGATGCCGTAGTAGATGTAGAAGTATGTCAGCATCTGGAGGTGAGACGCCGTCAGCTGGTCAAAGTTGCGACAACTCAACTTTTACGAGTTACTAGTCACTAGTCTCACTCTGCCTTTTTAGGCTTTTGCTACAAATTGTAAAGTTGAAACTGTGCCAAGAAAGGCAAGGTATTTCTTTGAGATACTTGGAGCCTTATGCTGTTGTACCGCGAATTCAGCTGTCCCGGAAACCGACGAAACCCACGCTGTTTGGGTCTCCCAAGCCTCCGGATGAAGGAGTACTACTGCCGTGAAGGCACAACCTGGCAAAAATAGGAACAAGTGCATCGCTACTAGTAACAAGTGCCTTACTACTAGTAACAAGAAGCTACTAGTAGCTATTTGCTACTAGTAGCAGTGAGGCACTGGTTTCTAGTGGCGATGCACTTGTTACAAGCTTGCTGATTTTTTGCAAATTGAGCACTGATGTGCACTGCTCTCTCTGTTCACTTCCCGTGCTTTACAAAATCTCGAGACATAATGTTAGCAAAGGCTGGATAATGCTGGATACATCATCATCCTAAATCTTTGCCTCTAAAGCATGGCGTTGGGGTCATCAATGATTGATGATGATCCCCGAGTCAAAAGTCATACAGTAGGTCCTGTAGGTCAATCAAACGCTTTTCCCGTCGTTCAGTTCCTGCAGGTGCAACCGCTGTTAGTATCCAGCCCTCTGTATCCATTTGTGAATCCAACATCAGTGCAAAGTGTTAGACTACAGGAAGCATTTCCAGCGAGTGCAACAAAATATCAACATATCAACCTCGCCCCCCCCACCAACTCCGTTTTCTGTGGACAAAACCAAAACCAACAAACACAGTTCATTTCTGTGTCCAAATCACGGTCAGCATTCTGCAAAATGTTAAAGTTATAGAATGCAAAGCACTCAGCAACCCACGTTAAGTTATTCCAAAAAAAAATTCCCTGCATTGTTGCTTCAACCATGCTACACTGGCAACTGCTCACAAGCAAACACCCTGCTAGGTCGATCCAAGCTAGCCGCGGCGACTCACCAGCAGCAAGCCGCACACCTACAAATTTGAAAAAATATGTTTCGGATCTTCTCTCACAAGAGGATTGGCCAAGGGCCCTTGACTAAGCTTCACGCAAAGAAGGCAGGATGCGACTTAATCTCACGTGGCCTTAGCCAAAAATACGGTGCACATTGTATGTGTGTGCTCCGTTGAGGCTCCGTTCATGAAGCATGGAGCCAGCACTTGGTCTGTGGAGCGAGCAAAGTTGGCCGGTTGATTTTCAGCCAAAGTCCACAGAAGGCGAACAAACCCATCACCAGCAGGAAAGAAATGGAGTAGATCGCAGCTAGCCTCAAACATGTGAATTTACATGGCGAGCCTAATGCTTGCTTTGGACACTGCTCTGATGAATTGACGGTTTACCACACCAATCCAACTTACCTTTTTGACGGTGTTAGAGAGTCGCAAATGTTCATCGCCACACTCTTGGGATGCAGCAAAGTAATGTCTCCATCCAGCATGATGCACATCGATGAGCAAACCCCAAAAAAGACCAGGATCGTGTAATGCCTTGGCGTATCGGACTTTGTGAACTCATTTCCACAGAGCAAAACATGTCTTTACTTTACTCCGTGATTCTTGTACTTCCTTTAGTTTCTTTAGCCGTTCTTTTTTTCAGAACAGGGGACCACAATAGTGCGCATTTCTGTGCATTTCCATGCACTGCGTTGCTGCTTCTGCCAGCAGCAAACTTCATGATTGACCATTTGTATACAAGAGCATGCCTTTACCTAACCACATGAGTTCACCTGGACCAGAGATTGAAAATTGGTCCCCAAGCATTGGAAAGGTATACTGTAACAATTAAAAAACAAATACATGTTTGTGAAGCAAAGGCTATTGGGTCAATAGTCCGCCGACCCCTGCCTAGCTGACGCCTAGGCGGGGCGGCGCCGGGGACACCGCAGGGTGAAACAGTTGCCCAGGCCAAGCAGATCCGTCGTGGCGCCGCTGCCTTTTTCTGCCCAAGCAGATCCAGAGTGTGTCGACGGTGCCGTTTCTAGGTGTGGCCGTCGATTGCATTCTGCCTGAAAGGCACACCTCAGCTGCCAGGCAACTGGGACAGGCAACTAGGCATCGAAAGAGACGTGCCCGGCAACGTGCCAGGCGACGTTAGGGATTTGGGTGGCTGCGGCTCGCCCCTTTTTGGTGGCGTCGTTTGCCCTGCCGGAAACCCTGAGGTGCGGCTGCATTCTGCCTTATACGCACACCTCAGCTGTGGGCCAGGCAACTCGGCATGGAAAGCGACGTGCCAGGCAACTGCTTTATGGGCTCCCGAAGGCGATGGCTGCGGCCGATGGTGGAAAGCTGTGGCGAAGGAAATTGCCAGGAGCCTTGGGAGTGATCTGGCACATGCCAGGCAACTGTTTTATGGGCCCCCGAAGGCAACGTGCCAAGCGACGCGCCAGGCGACGTTAGGCATTTTGGCTGGCCGCGGCTCGCCCGTTTTTGATGTAGAATTAGATGGTGGAAAGCTGCGGCGAGGCAACTGTTTTATGGGCTCCCGAAGGCAACGCGCCAGGCGACGCGCCAGGCGACGTTAGGCATTTTGGCCGGCTGCGGCTCGCCCCTTTTTGGTGCTGCTTGGTAGCTGCTGCTGCTGCTGCTGCTGCTGCTGCTGCTTGGTAGCTGCTGCTGCTGCTTGGTAGCTGCTGCTGCTGCTTGGTAGCTGCTGCTGCTGCTGCAAATTATTTCAAATCTGTCAGATCAATCCGAAGAAAGATCAGTAGAGACAGCGCTGGGTTGCAAGGTGAGACTCCGCCAAACGTTGCCCGCGCGGCCCTGACTATCAGAACTACGGTTGTTGCCTCCATCGGATTGATCGGTTTGATTTCCGTCCTCACCGGAACCATTCGCAAGAGAACGGAGTTGGCTTGACGAGATTGGCAATCCGTTGTAGTAGTAGTGATAATGGTTGTTCACATGGTTGTGATGATGGTAGTGCTTCTCGACCTTTCCATGGTACCAGCGCTTCTTGTAGAAGTGTTGGTGCTTGTGCGCATGAACTGGACGGTTGCCAACAAGATCTGCATCTCGTGAACGGCCATGGTTCTCACCATCGAACTCATTGTGCACAGTAGGTTGAACTAGGTCCTCTCCGCGTGCCTCAGCCTCAGCCTCCGCTTCGGAAGCTTCTGCGGTGTCCATCTCCCACGACCCAAGCGAAGCAGCGTCATCTGCAGCCATTGGAGAAACAAGAAGCTACAAAGCGAAAGTAATCCGCAGTCAGACAACTGACGCTGAAACAAAACTGCGACCGCAACAAATAAAACAGAAATAAACATGAACAAGAACAATACAAATTCCATCACATTCCAGAGCGAACATATGTGAAATTACCGAAAGTCAAATCAAATCATGTGGCATCATCTTATATCATCTTGCACATCGAAGAGCAAAGGAACGATAGGGAAAGCAAATGAAAGATAACGAAAGCAGTGTTTTCTTTTCTCACGCTTCCTGAGCAAGGTGCACTCCGGGACAGGAATGGAAACGGTCCCCTGCGTCTGTCTATCAGGGTATCCCGGAGCATTGGTAATGAAGCTCGCGTGGGACTTCTTTCACACACATTTGATCAAGCACTTCATGCTTGCTGTGTTAAGATGTACCAAATTTGCCATGCCCTAAACAAAGCGGTCACAAATCTGGATGGGTAGACAGCTGTTTCAGCCAAAGCCTTACAGCCATGAGAAGACCCATCTTCCTTCTGAACATAGTATTTTTTCTCGGTCTTTCCATTTGCCTTGGCTTTTTTAGCCTTGGCTTTCATTCTGGCGCGGTGCGCTTCCTTGACTTTTGCTGTCGCTTTCCTCGCAACCTTGCTGAGAGGAAGGTTCCCGAACAAGTGCGTCGGCTTCAGCAAATCATGGCCAAAGCATCCCAGCCAGGTAAGCGTTTTCTGCCATTGACCTCCTCTTGCAATCACAGAAAAGGTCTCTTGCTTGCTCGTCCATGACGAAGTCGGCTGTTCCAGTACCATTCGCACGAGTGGCCGAAACTTTTGGAGCAGGAGAACGAAAACCACCTAAGCGCAAAAGCAAGCTGCGCACAACTGCTACAACAGATCTCTTTGGCCAGTACATACGAAACCAATCGAAACCCCACATAGAAACAAACAACTTTCTGAAACCAATATGAGAAACCATATTCGCATAGATAATATTGGACAGCCGAACACATTGGAATGATTCATCTCCCTTCAATCGCGCTAGTGACCTTTTGTGTGTTCCTTGGGATATGCCTACAAAGAGGCTACATGGTGGCTGGAGCATCAGCAGGCCACAATCACAAAGCTCCATGCCCAGTCCCAACAACATCAAGAATCCAGAACGTGTAGTCACATCCTGCTGCTCGTCATTCTTGATGTCATAGCTTACGGATGGATACCCTCCAATCCGGAATCGACTAGCAAGCTTTCGAGAAGCTGAGAAGCAGTCCAAGCACATCCATTTGCGATCTCCTTCCCACCTTTCGCACCAAGATGTCAGAAAAGCCCATTCGTTTTCTGCATGAAACCACACAGCCTCTGGCACGCTGCTGCTGGCATCCAAGCTTGCCGATGGAGCTGCATCTACAAAGGCAAAAGCAGCAAGGAGCGCCAACAAAGCTGCAACTGCCGCCATGTCAGTACAATCACTCAAGAACACACAGGCAGGCAAACGGCTGAGGAGAGACTTCAGGATGTCGCAGGAGGTACACAAACAGAGAATATATATATATATACATATATCATCGTATATCAATCTACTTTTAGTCTCCTCTAATTTGCAGGCCGGATGCTTCTGTTGTGTGCCGGGGCTCAAAGACCATGTTTGGATCCCAGGCCGACAAGCGAATGATCATGTGGGAGAGCATCGACCTGCAATGGCGCTTGATCAGTGTGGAAAATTATGGAACATATTGAAAGCACGTGAGCATTAAAGAACAAAAACTAAACTTTTCTGAACATAAGAGGTATACATTGCTTTCAAGGAACAGTATGTTGCAGGTTGTTCTCCGGGGCAGAAAATGTAACGGCCATTTGTTTTTACGAGTCTGACTGGCATGATGAACCAGGAGCAGCATCAAATAGTACGCCGTGCATGCGTTTTCAGCTAACTCCTGAGTTGAGAATGCTTTGCTGGATTGCCAAGGCGAGAAGACCAGGTTGAAGATGAATTGAAACAAATTCGCTCCCAAGGCATCCCACTCGCACTGATTGCTTTGGCTCAAGTACATGGGGTTGAAGAGCCTTGCTGCTTCCTTGTCGCTCTGTGAATCCCTGCCCTGCGCAGAGTCTCTTGGCAAGCCAGCTCGAAGCAAAGGCGCCAGGCAAACGTGCAGGCCAAAGATGTGAAAAATACTTGAGGCCAGGGGGAGAGGTCGAAAGCTAGCCGAATCGCACCGGATGTACTAGTTACATAGTCGGCAAAGCATGTAGGGATTACATGTTTTGGGAGGAAGGTTGCTATGTACATACTTTGCGCTAAAGAATGTAAATGTGACATCGCTGACTGGGAAGGGTACATTGGAACAACCCGGGTGCACTCGTTGGCAGGCACGAAGATGCGTGATCGGCAAATCTGGGGTGTAAATTTACACTCCGCTTTTGTATGCCTTGAGTCGGAAAGAGGGGTAAGCATTTCTGACATCATACGGACTGTACATACACTAGGGCGTCCGTAGTGTAGGAGAAGCACGGGTAAAAGGTATATGGAATAGAGTGTCTTGAGGAAATAGCCGGTGTATGGTTATTGCAAATCTGGGGGGTTAATTTACCCCCCCGCTTATGTATGCCTTGTGCTGGAAAGAGGGGTAGGCATTTCTGGCATCACAAGGACTGCGCATACACTAGGGCGTCCGTAGTGTAGGATAAGCACTGATAAAAGGTATAAGGAGTAGAGTGTCTTGAGGAAATAGCCGGCTTATGGTTATGGCAAATCTGGGGGGTAAATTTACCACCCGCTTATGTATGCCTTGAGCCGGAACGAGGGGTAAGCATCACAAGGACTGTGCATACACTAGGGCGTCCGTAGTGTAGGATAAGCACTGGTAAAAGGTATCAAGAATAGAGTGTCTTGAGGAAATAGCCGGT